TTCAATTTATTACGACGAGAATGTGAGAATGTTCGTGGCACATTGACATTCCCTTCATTTATTTCGTTTAATATACCTTTATTATATTAGCCTGTGTTTTACGCGGTCGTGTTTCACCCGAAACTTGGAGGGCCGGAACATKCCGTGTAGGAAGGGAGCTACACTATAATAATGATAACCAGTGCAAAGGTCCCAGTTTTAAAAATAAAAAAATATTAGGATGTTGATTGTGTACAATGTTTAGTTATTATCTATGATTATTATATTGTGATTGTTATTATTATTATTCACCTACACGTTAACGGCATACAAGCTATACACTCAACAACCTAACTAAATATTTTTCTAAACTAAAAAGGTTTCTGTTGAATTCAAAAGTTAAATAAAGTTACTGGAATGAGTGTGTTTAAATTTTAAAACAATGATAAATCATTTTATTTGAAAAAAAAAACAGAGCTTGGCTCACTCTAGGTAATTTAATATATTATACTAATATTAAATAATGACAAGCGTTACCACGGATTAAAATGTCAAGTCTTAATAATACTCAAAACTTCACACATTATATTAGAAAAATCCAATACCTAATCGTGAATATTTCATAAGAAAAATAAATCTCTAATAAATATATAAAACAAAATTGATTCAAAATGATAAATATTACTCGAGTTATTAAAATTTCATCATATTATGCTCATATTATAGAAAAATTTATGACTATCTTCCATAGACCATAATTATGTTTTGGGAGGTACGTAGGTATTATTGTTTATTATTTTAATAAATAAACAATTTCCAAAATGACACAACGTCTTTACAACTTAAATTTCTAGATGGATAAAAATTAGTTCACCCAATATATTTTTTATAAATAACTAATTGCATATTGTATTTAATACATTAAGTTTTTTTTTTTTTTTTGCTTTTCAATAATACAATAAAATCGTGATAACTTTGTTTTTAATATTAAATGTTGACTCATCACTATCGTGACGGCTCTGTCAGATTTTTTTGATACACAATATTACTGAATAAAATGAATAATATAATTCTATCAGTAGGTAATCATTATTACAACTTACTGCAGAATATAGAACGCAGTGCGATATAATATAACTTAGTATTATTTATTTTCTGATAGTTAAATTATCAAATAACTTGTTTTTCAGGTGCTATTACCCAAACCTAATCTGTGCCCCACCGAGATTTACGAGCTCATGTGTCAATGTTGGAAGCGCGATCAAAATCTAAGGCCTACATTCAAACAACTTTACCATTTTCTGAAACGCAATCACACAACGTACTCGTGCGAGATTGACAAGCAACTGCACAACATTTCACCGATATAATAAATTTTATTATTAGATTATAATGTAAATCATAATGATGTATTATTTATTATTATTTATATTATTACTATTATTGTTTGTAATCATTTGTAATATTTGTATAGGAATTATTAGCGTATTGAAATTTGCATGTGTATTATGTATATACGTGTATACATACACGTGTATATATATATTATGTGTGATTAATGTACATTTTCTTGTTGAACCTATTTTCTTTACCCGCTCTGTTCAAAAAAATTCTCTCGATCTGTAGTATTCAACGACGTATTATGATACCTACATAGGTTAACCGTATATAAAGTGAGAACAGGGTTTTGCTTCGTCTACTACTTTGTGATAAAAACTTTTTTGAAAAATCACATTTTTTTCTAACTCCACAACCGGCTGAGACCGCCGGACAAACGCTTCGYGACAATTTATTTCCATAAACTATTTCATATCGTGTATTTTTCTAATTCGTGTATACTTTTATACAAATAAATATATATACCTATATTATGTAATTAATATTTATATTATGTTGTATAATCGAAAATGTTGTTAGCTAGACAATCAATGCGGTAGGGTATACTCGTATAATATATTATATGATATATATTATGTTATGTTGGAGTGGATTGTAATTTCGATGTCATATTTGTAAAATATTATATTAAAAACGTTTTATTATAATAGGCCTAATTACTTCGATAGGGTCTAATTATTTAGGCTTAATATTAATTATGTAACAATAAATTGTATTATATAGTAATTATTAGTATTATAATATATTACCTATACATAGTATGTTAATACATAAGATCTGCTTATGACGTGCAATAATGAACATTAGGTATATATACACTATTGTTTAGTTGATATTAAATATTATAATGTTCTTTTTTTTTTTAAATTCGTTAGTTAATGTAATTAAAACGATCTGTAAACAACATGTTTCTCTGTGAGTATTTATTTTTTTTTTATGTTTTATAGTAAAAATATACATCTATTATATTTTTGTTTATATACATCTCTAAGACGCTACTTTTGTGTCTCCGAAAAGAAATTTGAGACAACGTTATCCCAAAATACAATAAAACAATATGATAAATAATTAGCTGTAAATGCTATATCATTGAGAAAAAAATTAATTTTTTCGTAATTAATAATTTAAACGTTCTTACAAATATCGAATAACGTTATTTAGGTTTTCGGATACAGATATAATAGTATTGATAATTATATGGTATTTTTTTTGTATTGCGAGCCTTCAAAATTAAGTGCAATTCCAAAATGTCATGTTGTTAAACACAAAAACAAAAAAACTAGAAAACATTAAAATATTAAAATTCTATACAGCGCCCACAAATGAGGTACGGCAAATGCAAAACKTTCTATTTCCAAAGTTATCAAAATTGAGTTATACATCAATAATAGGCATAAATAATAATGATCTCAATTCTCAGTCATCTATAAGAATAAATATACGCGATATTATTTTATAATTAAAATATAATATTTATTGTTAGTTTGTTACTTGTTATATATTATGTAAGGTACCTAGTGTAAATAGTGTAGATAGTGTAGATAATATATAATA